ACTTCAGTAACATAATGCCTCTGTGACCCTTGACCTTAGACCTCATGAACCTGGAAGTTTGTCATAATATAGACTGCATGATTGGCTACGATACTCTAATGTATATGTTTATACAAAATACCAACTGTTTCCGAGATAATCAGCCATTTCAGTAACATAATTAATTCGTGACCTTTGACCTCTGACCCCACGACCTTGGAAACTGTCAGTAGAGTAGATTGCATTAATGCCTACAATATTCCAACGTATATGTGTATATAAAATACCTACCGTTTCCGAGATATTTAGCCATTTCGGTAACATAATGCATCAATGACCTTTGACCTCATGACCTCAAAAATTGATCATACGAGTAGCTTTCATAATGTCTACAACATTACAATTTATATGTGTATTCAAAATACCTACAGTTTCAGAGATGTTTAGCCATTTCAGTAATGTAATGTACTGTCTACAGACAGACGGACGGACGGACAGACAGTGCTTCTAGTAATCCCTAACCTCGTTGCGGGGGTATAAAGATACAAAATGGGTAGAGGTGGATCAATGAAGTTTGAAAAAAAAAGTATACAATGTTCATTTAAGTTTTGTCTGTATAATACTTGCCCCATAGGCGGAAGGCCCGTGTGTGAACGCTGAAAGTGGGTAGTCCTTCTAGGGTAACCCCTCCCACATTGTTATTTTATTATACGAGAGGTGGGTTCAAAACAAACATACAAGAATTAGCAATTAGTTCTCTGAAACCATGATACAGGTCTGGGTCATGCAGAGCGAGGCAGAGTTTTTTTTACATGTCATGCTTAATTACAAGTACTAATTAATCACCAGTGTTGAGCGGAACGTGGATAAATTAAATATATTGAGGCCAAAGTTGTATTATTTGTTTTGATTTCAGGTTTTTTACGAGTTATGAAACCAGATAACTGCCATTCTCCCTGATGGCTGTCAGGCGAAGACTTAATGTTTACCATTCTGTTACCCCATTTATGTCACCTGAACGACCTCCCTGAGACTCAATCAACTGCAGTATGAGGTTCAAAGTCTATTGCAAGGTAAAGTCGGGTCCTGCTCTCAAAACTGAAGGAAACAATAGATGAAATCTGTTGAAGAAGCCCATAGCCCCGACTTCTGTCATTAAATCCTACAGGATATACTGATTGTCTGTTCAGTCACATTCCTTTATTTTCCTCATCTGTCTTTCTCTTACATTTTTATTCTATAATTATCCTTTAGAAATGTCATATATCAATAAAATAATGGATGATTTTTCCTTTTCAGATAAAACAAAGAACAAAATCTCTTTTAATACACAGAATCAATGAAGATGATATTCTGATTTAACATTTTCTTTTAATTTGGAACAAGACATCACAAGTGATACAAATCCCCTAGCATTACACATTGTGACAGGAAGTTCAGGAATGAAGTCGCTAGAGGGATGACAAAGTGTTTTGGTAAAAATAGTCAAAGAGACCTTGACCTTTAACACAGTAAACTGAAACGCAAACTTGTTAAAAGATATTGCCATACCAAACATTTGTATCAAGCTTCATGAAATTCTGTTCAGGAATGAAGTCGGTAGAGCAATTACAAAGTTTTTCTAAAAATAGTAACAGTGACCTTGACCTTCAACGTAGAAATACGAAAAGCAAGCTCGTTTAAGTTATTGTCACACTACACACTTGTATGAAGTTTCATGAAATTTCGTTGAGGAATTAAGTTGCTAGAACGATGACATTGAGTGTAACATACATACATACATAGTTATTGTTGCTGGAAACAATTTTTTGACCTTAAGTAAATGGCTCCCACTGCATCTGAGATGTAATGACAAAGAAGAGTTCCACTCTGATTTTGTTAGTATTCTCCCTTGTTTATAGAAGATAAAGCAACCAAAAGGAGTTCTCCAGCTTAGAGTAACTCCTCTGTTTATATTTTCATAGGTTCGCAGTCCCCAAAAGGACTATGTATGGTTTGGGCGTGTTTTAGCACCCGAATGCATCATAATTCAAAACCTTTTAATGAACTTTCAAACCACTGTTTATTTCACAAATACTATCATGAAAAATGTTTATTTGTATTTCTAATGAATTTTGCCATGGTAACAAGTTCAATTTGCATAAATTAGAAAAAATTGAACATTCAATGAATTTTGTCATATTTTGCATATTTTTTTCCTGGAAACTACAGAGTGCATGCTTGAACAAACTTAATATCACAGGATAATGCGTATGCACTTGTAATACATCTTAAGGAGAAATATAAAGTTTGTTCAAGAGTGCGCTCTAGGTAGCTAAGAGAAAAACAAGATGAAAACATGTCAAAATTGACTGATTATTCAAATTAATTTATGCAAATATTAAATGGTTACCATGGCAGCCATAATTGAAAACACAAATGAATGATAGTACCGGGGAAGTATTCAAAATTACCAAAACGTTAATTTGAAAGTTTTATTGAAAATTTTTAATTTCGTCCAAAAAAGGCCCAAACTATATATATCTAGTCCTTTGACACCGATTTATATGTTGCAAAATAGATTTATAATTCTGGATGGAAACATTGGTAAATTGTTAAGGTCATGATTTTAGGCTAGGTTTAACTGATTTCCTTTTTTTATTTTTTATTTCAAGTATCCAAATTTTGAACAAATATGATTCTGTAAAATGCATTGCATTGCAGCAGATTGCTGTAAATTATTTTTGTATATTGTCCGAAGTAGTCACTGTCTGTAATATTCTTGTGAATCTATACATCTCTCATGTATAGGAATAAAGGGATAAACGAATCTTGGAAAATTATTCAATATCTGTTAATATTAACAATATACAATAAATCAAAACACTCAAATAAATCTTATAAATACAAAATCAATCAATCAAAAATTAAAAACCTAACACATCCGGTTGATATTAGAAAGCTGAAAAGTGTGTGTTCTGGCCATATGCGGAGAGTTCCGTGAACACCCACCCAAAAGTATTCCTATATATCCCCACCCCCATCCCATGCCCCACCCCCATCCCATGTCCCACCCCATCCCATGCCCCACCCC